TCCATACATTCATTCTATCCATTACGACTTGACGTGATATTGACGAAATCTCAAGAATACACCACGCTTACGAATTCACCCCTACCACCAGAAATAACCTTAAAGTTCTTCATTAACTTGGAGTCTCCCGCAACCTCTCCTGTCTTACTCTCACAACCCTTCCTCTCTGGATTGAAAGTAAAGTCAACGATCTTGTTCTTCCTTACATTCATTGATTGATTGAATCATCACACTCTTTCAATTTTTCTAGCAAACACTCATCGAGATTGTTTGCTTAGCAAGACCACATTCTTTCTTCGATTCAGTCATTTGAATATCAGCCAACAACAGTTCAAGTCATTCTTTACTGTCAACTATCCTTTCAGGAACATACATACATACATACATACTCACAACATACATCGAAAAACACCCGATTTAAACAATCCCAAAATACATCATGCGTTCTTTTGAGATCAAATCCCTCGCCATCTTGGCTTCTTCTTTGCTGGTCAAAGAAACATTCGCTGCTCCCATCTACGAAACCGAAATCCATGTCGTCACAGAAGAAGTCACCGTTACCAGACAACTCGACGGTTCTTACGCAACTGGTTTTGCTCATGCTGTAGGAACCTACACTCAACATCACTCTGCTGCTGCTTCTTCTGTTGTCATTGTAGCATCTACTCCAGCTCCAGCAGCAGTCACAAGTGCCGTGGTTGTTCCCACCAGCTCTACAACTAGTCAAGTTGTTGTAGAGTCTAGCTCTGCTAAGCCTTCTTCATCATCTTCTTCAGTAGCCGTTGTTAAGGCTTCCACTGAAGCAGCTGCAGCTGCAGTTTTTGTTCAAACCAGCGCCAAAGCTGCAGCAACTACCCTCGCTACTTCTGCAAAAGCTAGCTCTGCTGCCGCAGCTGTTATTTCATCCAGCTCTTCAAGCTCTTCCTCCGGTGGAAAGCGTGGTGTTGCATACAACACCGCAGATTACGTCAAGCAATTCACCGGTTCTTCCAAAGTCGCTTGGGCTTACAACTGGGGTTCATCTTCCGATGGTCTCTCCGCCTCTGGTATTGAATTCGTTCCTCTCCTCTGGGGCTTGAAGAGTACCTTCACCGGTGCCTGGTCCGCCGCTGCCTCGAGCGCCATCGCCTCCGGCTCCACCCATCTCATGTCCTTCAACGAACCCGATCTCAGCACCCAAGCCAACATTGGTGCCTCCGACGCTGCCGCCGGTTACAAGACCTACATGCAACCCTTTGCCGGCAAAGCCAAGCTCGGTGCTCCCGCCGTCACCAATGGTGCTTCACCCATGGGACTCACCTGGTTGAAATCTTTCCTCTCTTCGTGCTCCGACTGCACTATCGATTTCGTTTGCATCCATTGGTATGATTCCGCTTCGAATGCCGCATACTTTAAGCAGTACGTTCAGGATGCCTACACCGCGGGTGGTAACAGACCATTGTGGATCACGGAATTCCAAGCTTCGGGCTCGACGGATGAGCAGAATGCGTTCATGAAGGAGGTTCTTCCTTGGTTAGATGCTAGCACAATGGTCGATCGATATGCCTGGTTTATGGCTGACACCGCCGCGGGTGGTTTGATGTCTTCGACTAGTGCGTTGAGTACTTTGGGAAATACTTTTAAGACAGCTTAGGTTTTTGATTGATGGGTTGGTTATTGGGATGGTAGGAATGGATATGAATACACATTGGATACTCGATGAACAGTTGGAATGCAAGGATGGATGCAGGGGGAGGAAAAAGTAAAGGCGATTACATACGAGATATACAGATCGAAAATAAGTGATAAAAAATGTGGAGCTTCGTTGTATATACTTTACTTTTACATTTGTTTGGGTTACATTTAGGTTCCTTGTTAGTTGAGGTGCCAGACTGGAGCTGTGGTTAGATAGCGATGATATTTGAATGGGTGGAATGAAAGGGAATATGTTCTGGATACCATGTTGTTGCTTCTTTGAGTGCTTGTGAAAGTGGATGATAAATGTGATTTTTTAGCTGGGTCTTTCAACGTGATATAATCAATTGGTTAAATTAGTTGATCGATAGCTCAATTATTAGTCAAGAGAGTCAAGAGGCGTTGAACGGAAATTGAAGATCGTGATACCTACCTACCTACCCACGATTCACCATCCAACCAACATAATAATACCTAGGTGATACATACGATACAATTCCAATATCTTTGCTTCCCTGCCTCCCTTCTTTCTTTCTTTCTTTCGAGTTTGTTTCGAGTTTGTAAATGGATAATGGATAATGAATCATATATTTCTGATTCTCACATTACACACACTCCAGACTTTGGGGTTTACTATTCGATATCCGCTATTTGATATGTAGTGTTTATCATACTATACCTATGTATGTATGTATGTATGTATGTATATATAGTATTTGATATAATATCACATAGCACAATACCGCACAGCACAGCGCAGTACAAAATACCCCAGATTTTCCATCCATCATCTCATTCATTCAATTTTGATCGGGTTCAGGGATCTATCTATCCTAAGGTTTTTATTTACGAAATCCTCTCTTCTGGGGTTGCAATTAATATGTGATAAGGTTAAATTGTGGAGTTGAGATTTTAATTTAATATCGAGATTTTAATATCGAGGTTTAATATCGAGATATAGTGATCGCTGCTAGGGGGGTGGAGTGAGTGGAGAGTTCTTGGCAGTGGGATTGGGATTGGGATGGTGTGGGGTTATTTGTAGGTAGGTATGTATGTATTTAGTAGGTAGGTATTTAGTGGGTTAGATGATGATGTTTATCTATTTAGTATGGAGGAGAGTAAAGAGGAGAAGAGCAGGTAGAGTGAGTGAAGATATACCATTGGTTTCGGATGAGAGGGAGGGATAGGGAGATGCCAGGTAGGTTTACAAAAATGAGGAACATCGGTTTTAGAAGCTTATATACTCGTTATTATACTCTTAGTTATTGAGTTATGTGTATGTGAATAACATATATAATCTGTACCTTTACATAATATATACCAATTACCAAGTACCAAGTACCAACTACCAAGTACCTGTCAACTCTGCATATCAGATGAGAATGAAATCTGATGCACCAATACCTAGATACCTAGGTATGTATCTACAAAACAACCTCCCCGTCATCATCAACTCCCTTTCCATGCTTAACAGTAAACATTCCCTCGCCCCTAACCTCAAACTCCACACTTCCATTCAATCCCTCTCCACTCTCCATTGCCCATCCCGCAAAAACAATCTTCATCCATCGTCTCCATCTTTTTAATACTGGTTCTCCTCTCTCTCCTTCCTCCATAATCTCGTTTCGCGCTCGTCCATAGACCGGCTTCTTGATAAGTGCTATTCGACATGCTATTTGTGTGGTCCAGATTAAACCGAGAGAGGGTGTCTTGACGTTTTTCGATGAAGTATAAGAAGGGTACGGATCATCGCCCCAGCCTGTAAACCATCGTTGTTGATGATCCAATGACATGGGATCTGGTGTTATGATGGTATAATCTCGAGATGGTATTCGATTGCCAATACTACTACCGGGGATGCTTGACATCGGAGCATTCATTGAACTCGATGGTACTGGCATAGCTCCATTTACGCCTAAACTTCTTTTCGCAAGTGGACTGCTTTGCATGTCTCTTTCTCTTTCTCTCTTCTGACCATAGGCCATTGGACTTGCTCTTCCACTACCGCCCGTGAATCGATCGGCTACTTGATTGGCGACTACAATAGCCACTCCGTGTTCCCTTGCCAAGTTCCTTAACAATTGTCCCAGCTTAACTAATTCTGCACTTCTCTGAGCCATATTTCCACCTCCCTTCGTCACACCGGGTCTCTCAAATTCGGCTCTGTAATTTGCAGCTACGCTGTCCAGTATAAGCAATCGAATACCATGACGTTTGATAGCGACAGGGACTTGGAAACGAAGAATATGATCTTGAGATTCGAGATCAGGTGTTGAAATCGAAATAACTCTGTCGAGAGAAGGTGGGGATGGATGAGAAGCGAGAAGAGGGTGAGTACGCAAGAGTTGAGATAGTCGAGTTATGGGGAGGGATGATTCGGTAGATATGTAAAGAGTGGGAGCTGCGAGACCATGGGGTGCCGGAAGTTGAGCAGAGAGAAGAAGGGTTAGGAGAAATTGCGTTTTACCTGCGCCACTTAAATTGCGAGTCAGTTGGAAGACTAGGTAGAGAAGAAAAAGTAGAGAGAGACGGCAATGGAAATGGCACATACCTCTCGCCCGTAATCTCCGTAATATAGCCTGTTGGGATACCACCTCCTAACGCGCGATCCATATCATCATCCAATGTACTTATAACCTCCCACTCATCCACAATTTCTTTTCCCGACCTCCTCAACTTCTTTACCTCTTTCTTCCCATCTACATTCTTTTCGCCTGTCGCGGTGTCCTCATCTCCAGGATTCACCTCGCGTATCCCAAGATCTCCTCTTAAGTGTTCCAGCACATCCGCACATAATCTTTTGACATCCAAGAGAGGTAAAGTCGCACGTTTGGCAATCTCAACACAATCGAGAGTGAGCAGATCAGCGACGGTGACGAGATTCTTCTCGAGTGAAGGAAGGAGTCGCACATATTTTTGTGTGGGAAATTGAGGGAGAATATCTAGAAGGTCGGTCATGGAGGCATTTGGGAAGGTGTGAAATCGTGAGGATATATTGCCAAGAAGGAAGAAAGGCTGGACCGCGAAAGAGATCTCGCGTCGCTCGGAGTCCCGTGTTCACGTGACTCAACATTGCGACAGGCTTTTGATTATGTCACTGCTGAACTAAACTTGGCCTCAACCTTAAAATTATTTCAAACATCGAAATGCTTCCCAGTTCTAATGAATATCCAAAAAATTGTATGTATGTATTCTAACAACTATGGGATCCTTCCTGATATTTTGCTTTGCTTATTGATTGAGCAAGTATATCCTTATCTCATCTAATGTTGTTTCCGCCAACCCTACTAGTATCTGACGTCTCTAGGCGGGGGAGAATTTAACATCTATTCTGCAGCCGCCACTTCTACGTCGTTTCTCTTTGCCGATTTTTCGGATTCTGTGAATAGGATCTAGATGCTATTAGTACTATTGAAAATTCAGTGATTCAATTGTTCTACTCACAACTGGTATTGCAACAGTTGCTGTCAAGATTCCAAGACTGGAAACAAAAAATATCCAACTTCTTTCTCCAAAAGCGTAACTCGTCCAAGCAGGACCGGCAAGAACTCCCGCTGCACTAGCACTAGTATATAAGGAGAAAACTTGACCGCTAGCTCCCGTTTTACCGAAAATGCCCGGTGTCTCTTTCTCCATACTTGCTACAGCTCGACTCAAGTCAGCACCCAATGGTGATGAACCGAAGACTCTGGCGACACCTATGAATCATTTTAGTAACTACTAAACGCAATGATCATACGATTGGAATGGGACAAGCTTACCATAAAGTGTAAGAAGGATAGCAAGTCCAGCAATCTGATCAGTGCTATCTCTTTGTATTAAGACGAGCAAGACAGTGAAGACGGCAGATAAGATGAAGTATGATGCTGTTAGCCATCGAGAAGGATAGACATCAGAGAGTCTACCAGCTATCGGGGCTAAAAATATGGGAAATGTTATCGTCAAGAAGATTAAGCCAGCACCGGTTGAGTCCCAGTTGAACTTTCGTTCCACAAATATTGGGAGAGCTGCATCGAAGCTTGCGAGGAGAAATACAGTCACCCAAACACCGTACAAATCAGCCCATATACGTGGGGACTTTAACAGAGTTACTAAGGCTATTGGATGCTCCTTGTTGTCTGCTGGTGGAGGTTGATTTTGGCTGTTCCCAAGCAGTGGCTCAGAGGCTATGTCGCTGGTGGAAGGTGAAGACGAATTTTGTTGTTCGAAAATGGCATTGTTAACACTTTGCTGAAAAGTCCCGTACGTGTGTGTTTCAAATACAGCCTTATCTATTTTCAACCTCGCGGCAACTTTTTTCTCAACCATGAACAAACGCATAACGATATCGATCACAATAAGAATAAACATTACGATGAATAGTGATCCATAACCAAGTCCTGCATACATTATGCCGCCTATGGTTGGGGAGATCAGCATTCCAATGTTGAGACTCGAAATGACGTATCCCATCCATTGTCCAATATCCTTCGAGCCAACAGTGTCTGCAAGCAGAGCAAATCCGACTGTATATACTACAGCTGCCGAGAGTCCCTGAAGAAAACGGCTGAGAGCCAGTATCCAAACATTCTGTGCAAAATATAAGACAGCCGTGGCAGCTGCATTGGAGAAGAATCCCAGGAGTAAAGGTGTTCGTCGCGATGAACTGCGATCAGCATAGTAGCCAAAAAGCGGACTCGCTATTAATTGGGCAAGGCCGAATGCTGTTAAAAGCATAGAATTCCAGAACTCGACTGGGAGAAATTAGCTTGTTGACTGAGAATAGCATTTTTGAAGTAAAGAATTCTATTCATACGGTCCTCATCTGTAATTCCAATCCGACGTTCCAGTTCATTTGGAAGAACTGGAATAACAACTCCGTATATGAAAGAGTCCTATAATCAGGATATCAGCCTTCGTTTTCTTCAGATGCTTGCGGATTTCAAGCCCACTGACACTAAAGGATGCAACACAGATTGTGCTAACAATAAACCATCGGGATGAGCGGAATTCCAAAAACCTTGGTTCTCTGTACTCATCCTGCGTTTTAGAAGTTTGGGGTTTGAACGGCCACATCATTGAAGTTGAAATAAAAGAACCCTAGCTTTTAGGACTGTTTAGAACTTTCAGTCGTGCGAATTATAAAATAATGTACGATCGGAGAACTTCCAGGACTAAAATAGGGGAGGTGCTTTTTACCGAATTGTGCTGATCGCTCAATTTACCCCTTACAAAATTGCATACATACGAAGTTTACATGGAGGTGAAAGTAGGCAATAGCTTTCAGCCGTCATACTTCAGGTGGCTTGGCATAAGATTTTCCCCGTCTGTTGCACTATGCAGGTGGCAATCTCATTCTGATTCAGCGCAGGGCTTTATTAGTTCCCCACACCAGTCCGTACAGAATCTGTGTACGACCGAGGTTGAAATTTCAGCTGCATTTCGTCGCATCGCAGTATTCTGCTCCAATTCGCTGCAAACATGTGCTGATCTTTCGCGATTATTAATGTATATCGCGATTCAAATCCATTAGATCGTATGATCAATTGCTAGGCTCTAGAGTTGCAGATCGAGAAAAGAAATTCTACCTGGTAGTCTAATTTCCTTTGTGTACTTTTTTTTGGTTTCATTGTGTTAATTTGAGAGGGTTCTAGTATGTCCGCAAGACACGATGCTCTATCTCTCTGAAGTCAGAACAAGCGTATTAGGATACTAGTTACGTAAACTAGCGTCCGATTGATCCGAAGTTGAACGTCTGCGGGATCATGTTTGTCTCACAATGTTGTATGCCCGTCACCATTTCTGGAATTTTAGCCAAGCAGATGGGAAACTTGACGATCAATAATGATCTTCTGTACACGGGCAAATTACACTAGACAATTGCATTGATTTATTGCGATTTGAAATTTCCATTTCTGGCGTATCATAACTTGCAAGACAGTTTTTGATAACATCATGATGTCACTCAACGTAAATGTTCTAGAATCTATTCATCGCATATGATGATGTTTTTTGATATAACTCCTTTCAAAGCGATGTTTTCACTATTAAACGAGAAAACAAATTGTACATTTTTCATTCTATTTATAAGAGGTCTGATTAACTCAAAGTAATATAGTGGTTGGGTTCTAGAGCTCTCACAATTCAGTTCACACAAATGGCATCGCTTGATGGTGCCGAGACAATCAAATGGAGCCATTTGCATAAACGCAAAGATGTGGAAGCTTCCGCCCTTGTCTTAGATCTCATTGCATTTTGCGGAGAAACTTCCTGGCTACGCAAGCCCCTTAGAACAGACGCTCTTACTCATCCATATAGTCATACAGTGACATATACACGCTCTTCTTTTGCTAATAGACAGTTTAATATCAGAGCAATTTGATCTATGGTCTCAACGTAGCGTCATTACTACCCCATGCGGAAATGGCTGCACTAGAATGAACTATATGCGCCAGAAGAAAGAGGAAAGCCAATAAGTCATGTGAGTGTTCAATTATGTACGATCATAGATCTTTTGACTTGATCTTTTAGCCCTTTCCCATATAGTATAATGGACGCCGGCTCAGGACGCTAAGCAGGAACTTTACGGTGCATATGGAACCAAGGTTAACGGATTGAGGTTACTCGAGATAATACGAATGAGCTGAAAGACCCTCGCGAAAGAATCCTGTCCGCGCTGGGCTGTGACTACATCGAGAGCTGGGGCCTGTGTGATCAAATCTTAGCATTGAATGACAAGAGCACGTCATGTAGAATCAACGTTGTTTCTTGAGGCTATCCAGGGCAATCTCAAAGCCAGGGCGTCTGTCAAATAGGAAGTGATACTTTCTAAGCCCACAGGCTGGGGTTGCAGTCTATAGCCAGTTGATCTATGTAGATCAGCTTCGAAAGCTCCAATGGCTGAGAAAATGTAATGGGACGGGGGCTCGGGTAAACACGATTCATAGCACAAGTCTTATACTTAAGAATCGAATGATGTTGAAAAATAAATTGTTAAGAGACTCGTTTGTATTCAACATTGAAGCTCAATTCGAACATTGCAGTCTCCAAAAGTCAAAAACCCCTTCTTCTTCTCCTTTTCCGTGTCTTGTTGTGAGATATGTAAGTTTCTTTACGATTGAGATCTTTGCGCGTGCACTAATGAACATGAATTCTTTAGAAATCATCATGACATTAACAGCTAAGCACTTCTCTCCCGACCTCATTCAGAGGGACCAACGCCGGGTCAAAGGAGACCGCCTTGAGAGATCACACTCTACGATAGATCTGGATCTTGCATCTAAACACTATCTTTCAGACCTCATCCACAGTGAGCGTCGTCCAGCGCAAACCACGGACACGGATAATTACCTCAGCCAAGAGGAAGGCTCTGTCGAGCCATTCTCTCTTCTGAATTCTACGCAAAACCATGATGAAATCCGAAGACAAATGCCATCAGACGCGAAGTTCATCGATGCCTACCCTTGTACGGCTCTTCAAGAAGGGCTGCTGGCATTATCAATGAAAGAATCCGGCAGTTTTACGCCTCAAATCATATGCAAGCTCCCCAAAAGCATTGATTTGAAGAAATTCAAAGCTGCTTGGCAGAACACAGTCGATTCAAATTCGACACTTCGAACTAGTTTCGTTCAAACGCGAAATTCAGGCCTACTACAAGTAGTTTTGGCGCCAGAACCCATTCTCTGGTCAGAAGAAATTGACCTCGAAAGCTACTTGAGTAACGACAGAATTATCTTCCCTTCATTTGGAAAGCTCCTATTGAGATACGGTCTCATTAAAAGCCACTCATCTGATTCATTATATTTCATTTGGACTTTTCATCATGCCGTTCTTGATGGATGGAGCATGCGCTTGGTACTTCGACAAGTCGAAGAATCATACAAAGGAGAGACAATTCAACCGCTGGTGGAATTCAAGCATTTTATTGCACACCAAATGAGACTTGAGAAGCAATCACAGGAAGCAAGCGAAACATTCTGGAGTAATCATCTAACAAATACTTCGGGGTCACAATTTCCTGTTGTCCCATCACGACATCATTCGCGCGCGAATGGCTACTCGGAAAGATTTATTCCCGTGAAGGAAAACTTATTGGCTGGTGCAACGACCTCTACAATCATACAAGCCGCGTGGGGAATCCTAGTAGCACGACGTACCGCTGCGACAGAAGTTACTTTTGGTCTCGTGCTTGCAGGGCGAAATGCACAAATTTCCGGTCTCAATATGAGAAGAGTAAATGGTCCAACATTCAATTCGTTACCGATGCGAGTAATTATTGAGAACGTAAAATCTGCAGAAGATCTATTTGCTTCGGTTCACGCTTCTCGAGTCGCAATGAAACCCCATCAGCATCTTGGCCTACAAAATATCCGCAGGCTCGGAGCAGACTGCACAAAAGCTTGCAACTTCCAGAATCTACTCGTTATTCAACCCAGGTTAGAGAGAGACTCTGCCAGTATATTTGGCGCCAGAGAGAATACTACTGACCACTGGGCCAAGTTAAATGCTTATCCTCTTATGATGCAATGTGATTTGATGAGAGATGGCTTCACTGCAATGGCCAGTTACGACTCCCACGTTTTATCTGACCAAGAAGTCAATACTCTGCTGCAACAATTTGACAACATCATTTCTCGTTTGTCCGATGCAAAAACACCGGTTAGTGATATAGGGCTGACAATTGAAAAACCGCAAAAACAATTAGCTTTTGAGGAGACAGAAGCTGAAGAGGTTTATTCCTGTGTCCATGAAGTCATTCGGCGGAGTTCGCAAAGGAGTGGATCCGATATAGCGGTGACATCTTGGGATGGGGAATTGACGCATTCCCAATTACATTCTATATCCAATCGTCTAGCATATCTTCTACAGCTCGCTGGTGTTGGACCCGAAGTGAAGGTTGCACTGATTTTTCAAAAATCTTTGTGGGCTATAATCGCCATGATGGCAGTGATGAAAGCAGGAGGAACTTTTGTTCCTATGAGCCCCGATCATCCTGAGGAGCGAATCAGAAAGCTGGTGAAGCAAATAGGTGGCAAGATGATCATGTGTTCCGAGAATCTTTTCCCCTCGTTCAAGGGCATCGCAGACCAAACATTTGCTCTGGGAAAGTCGATGCTTGAAACCTTGCCCGAAGGAGTGCTAGATACGAGTGTTCAGCCAAACAATTCTGTTTACATTATCTTCACTTCTGGCAGCACTGGAGAGCCAAAGGGGTGCGTTATAGAGCATGCTACCTGCTGTGCTACCATGCGTCACCTCTCCGATTTCTCCAAAATGAGTTCCCAAAGTCGCACTCTTCAGTTATCGGCATACACTTTTGATGGCATGGTTTTTGAGATTCTCACTACTTTGAGTGTTGGAGGTGTTGTTTGCATACCATCAGACGACGAGAAAATGAACAACATTACATCAGCAATCAACCGAATGCAAGTTAATACCGCATTCATGACAACTGCATTTGGGAGATTAATCCTTCCAGAATCTGTGCCAACTCTAAAAACTCTTCTTATTGGAGGTGAAAAGTTAATCCAAGAAGACTTAGATCGATGGCTCGGGAAGTTGCGGTTATTACAAGTATATGGACCTACCGAATGTTGCTGTAAGTTCCATTATATTGTTATTCGCCATACTCATATCCACATTGGCCTTCTATCTAATGTCTCTGCAACCTGGCTATTGCATCATAATCCATTAGTTTCTTCTTCTCCTTTAAACTCTCCTTAGTGTGTAATTACTGACTCTAGAATGTTACAGGTATGTGCATTGGTACTGAGATCACTGAGAAAGGTTTGAATCCCGCTAGAATAGGGTCTGGTTTCATTGGAAGTTTTATTGTGCTTGACGACAACGACCAGTTAGCCCAACGGGGAGCTGCAGGTGAATTATTGATTGGTGGACCGCTTGCGAGGGAGTATCTCGAAAATCCCGAAAAGACGGAAGCGTCCTTTGTTCCTACGCCTTCCTGTATCCCTGCTGAGACTACTCGTTGGAAAAGATGGTATAGGACAGGAGACCTGGTCAAAATGGATGCTGATGGATCAATCGTTTATATTTCGCGAAAAGATGCAGTAAGTGACACTCCCTTTTCAAGTCGCAACTTTTCTTGACAAGTATTTTGTTTTCAATCTGAATTGATAATGCCTGGAAACATGGTTCAACTGGAGCATTTCAGCAGGCTCACACTTGTTCAAGAGCCTTCCTGTCAGGCTGAAGTCTTTCGAAAGCCCTCACTCAACTGGTAGAAACTTACCATTTTGTGATTTCTGAGTAATTGAGGTTTCGCATACTAACTATAGTCTAGGGTGCGCAAGTCAAGCTAAATGGCCAAAGAATTGAGATGGGCGAAGTCGAAAGTCATCTTCATCAGAATCTAGACAATGTTACAGATCTCGCTACAGTGATAGCAATCCCTGTGGATGGCAGGACGCCATTCCTAGCAGCCTTCTTGTGCTTTAGAGATGACAGTAACAGTAGAGAAAAGGAAGAGACCTCCATTTTCAAGAAGTGTCTTGATGAGGCAATTGTCCAATCACTTCTTGACCGCCTGAGTCTAACACTGCCGCAATACATGATACCAAAAGTATACATACCTGTATCGTCGATACCGCTTACTATCTCTCAGAAGTGTGATCGCCAAACCCTACAAACTCTTGCAGCTGGCTTGACTCCTTCGGAGTTTGTGTATTATTCTGGGCAAGGGGCTACACACTCTGCCCCTTTGACCGACAACGAGCTTCAAATGCAGCGTCTATGGGCCGCTATCTTGAAAGTTCCAACAGCTAGTATAGGCAGAAATGATAGTTTCACACGACTTGGTGGAGACTCGATTCTTGCTATGAAGCTCGTTGCAGCAGCACGAGATGATGGCATAAATTTGACGGTTGCGAACATATTCCAAAGTCCGATTCTATCAGATTTGGCCAAAACACTGGTGGATGCCAGTGTCTCTACACTTGCTACACAGGACAGTGTTCCTGAATTCTCTATGATTGGAGGACGCGCTCAGCTATTGAAAGCAACCATTGGTGGTGGTCTTAACCCAGATCATGTTGAAGATTTGTACCCATGTACTCCTTTTCAAGAATCCATCATGGCACTTTCAATGAGTCATCCTGGCACGTATGTTGCACAGCACGTTTTCGAGTTGTCCAAGGACATATACTTGACTGTTGACAAGTTTTGTGACTGTTGGAATGAAGTTGTACGCTCGAATCCTATTCTCCGTACGCGTATCAGCCAGCATGAATCAGCAGGCCTGGTTCAGATGGTGGTCAGAGAAGATGTTTCCTGGCAGATGCAAGATAACCTCCAAGGATATCTGGAGGCTGATAAAACACAGCCTATGGGCTTAGGAAGCCCTCTCAGCCGCTACTGTATTGTCGA